GATGAGGATGACGAGGAGGAGGACGAGGAGGGAAGGAGGAGGAGGAGTGGAGGGGTGATGACGATGAGGAGGAGGAGGAGGAGGAGGAGGAGGACGAGGATGAGGACGAGGAGGAGGGTGAACAAATAGGCGGAGGAGGATGACAGGCAACATGGCCGGGCGTCTTGGAGCGTCTTGGGGGTCTCTTGGCGGTCCAAGGGTCCCCTTGGGGCGTCGTAAGTGCCTCTTGGGAGCCTCGTGGGGGCCGCTTGGGGGCTGCTTGGGGCCGTGTGGGGGCCCCCTGGGGGCGTGCGGTGGCCCCTGGTGCCTTCCATGAGGCCATGCAGGCTTCGTCAGGACAAGATTAGAGGATCTCGACCAAAGAGGGGGGGGCTAATTAGCGCACCCCGTCTGGAGCCCTAAAAGTCGCCTCTTCAGGGCCTCTTGGAGCGCTCTTGGCGCGCTCTTGGGGACGTCTGGGGCCCACGTTCAGCGTCTCTTGGGGCCCTCTTGTGCCATCTTCGAGCCATTTTGAGTCCTCGGGAGCCCATTGGAAGCGAAAGGGCGAGAGGGCCAACATCATTGATTTTCTGTGGGTTCTGGAGCGGCTTGGGTTTCTTCGGGCTTCCTTGGGGGTTTCTGTGGCCACTCGGACCCATCTTGGGGCCAGCATGGGGCCACTTGGAGGTTTCTTTGAAGCCATATAGAGCCGACTTGAACCACATTGCGCCGTCTTGGAGGCCATCTTAATGCATCTGGGGCAATATTGGAGCCCTCTTGGGCCAACAGCCTTCGAAAGTTCCCCCGAACAGCTAGCATCCATCCTTCGACACCAATGTGTTGTTTTCCTTGTTTTCGTTTATCAAAGAGGGGATGCCCCTAATTAGCGTCGCCCCTCTTGAGCCCCAAACAGTCGCCTCTTGGGGCGCTCTTGGATCGCTCTTGGGCGCTCTTGGGGCACTCGCGGGGCCTTCTTGGGCCTCTGTTGGGGCCCTCTTGGGCCGCATTGGAGCCATATTCTGGCCTCGGGAGCTTATTTGAAGCGAAAGGACGAGAAAACCAACATCATCGATTTTCTCCAGTTTGTTTGAGGATTTGGGTCTTTTGGGGGCCCCCCTTGGGAGGCTTCGAGCATGTCAGAACCCATATTGAGAGCGATCTTAGAGTATCTCGGGGTATTTTGAATGTAATCTTGGGCTTTCGCAGGCCCTCTTGGCGCCATCTTGGACGCCCCAATGACCCGCGACCCTCCCCCTCAGGTCCAGGGGGAGAGGGTAGGGGGAGGAGTCAGCCCATCCCTGAAGGGAAAGAAAAGGGTTGGAAGAAGAAACGCGCTAAATCACCTCCGCTCTAATGACCCGTTGGATTATGTTTCGTTTTCCGCAGAACTTCATGTGGAGCCTGTGTTGCACTGTTCGGGACACTGTTGGAACCCTGTTGGGGTGGCTCTGGCCCTCCAGAGCCGTCAAGAGAAGGCCAGGTGCCCGGAGGAAGGCCCCAAGGGGGTCCACAAGCAAGACACGCTTGGAGGTTCTCGCGTGACTTGAGGTCGCGCCCTGCTGTAGTCGTTCAAGGCCTTCTTGGCACCCTCCCAGGGCCTCTCCTGGAACCGCCCTCCTTTTCCTTTCCCCTTCCTTCCGAAAAGTCTCCCAGTGGGTCATGCCATCAGGCGCATTCGTTCCTGGCACAAGCGGACGCTGGGGCATCGGTTCCATTCTTTATCTTCCCTCCTCTCTCTCGCCCCCCTCCCCTCAGTCCCTCCTTGCCCGCTCCCCCATACATATTGCCTCGCGTGATCGAGTAATCATCTTGCACAGCGTGAGCTCCACAGTGAGATGGGCCGCAAACACCCGACGAGACCCTGGACTAACCCCCGGCGGCGCCCAAGAGACCCTTCTCTGCTGGGGCCAGGCTCATGTTGATCGTTCAAACCATGCTGAAGCCATTCGTCGGCACGTGCATTCGTGCAGCCGTGACTTTGTCAATACGCGCAGCCGTGGTATTGTCAAGCGCCTGCGTGTGCTAGAACCTAAGCGCGCGCGAAGCGCGCGTGGTTCTAATATATATATATATATATATATATATATATATATATATATGTATACACGCATGTGTCTGTGTGCGTGTTTGAATATCCCAGCGCATGTGCATGGGACCGTTTCTGGAGTGTCTCCGAAGGTAATTTCCAGGTCCAGGTAGTGGCCAGATGGCATGTGCAGCGGTGGTCCACGTCCGAGCGACCGGCTGGGCCCGATGTGCGAAGCGACCGCGGGGTGCAGGGACCGTTGGCGATCGATGCAAGCGCTGCGAACATAGGTTGTTTTGTAGCACGACGGGCTGCGCAGCGGACGCGAATTCAGCGGTTGGACATAAGCAGGCATCGATTGAGAGGACAAGCGTCGTGCCTGAATTTATTGCATGCCAACATCCTTGGTGATGTTGGGATGAAACGGGTGCATAACTACGGCGTTGCGGGGGGGGGGATGTTTTTAGCATCGCCCGTGGTTGGTAAGCTCATGGGGGTTTACGTTTGTTTGGCATTGTCGTTGTGATGTCTAGCCTCTTCCTCTCCTGCCTCGTCACCGTCGTCATTGTCGGCGTCGTCGTGGTCGAGGTTCGTGTTGCTCTGCTCGGGACCTGAAACACCACTACCACCCAAATGATTGGGCAACAACCGTGCATTTTCCTGCACCCGCTCTAAAGCTCGCTCAGACCAGTCATCGCAGCATCCTGGCGCCAACGTGTTAGGTGCACGTGACAACATTCCTGCGCAATCGCTGCCAGGGAGGCGCGGGCGGGCGCGAGGGAACTGCACTGGGCGGGGGCGGGCGCACTGCCGCAGACCACATGCGTGCACTTAAGCTGCATTGGCCACAGCGCCGAAAACAGCCGCAGATGTGCTATGCTACTGTGGACATACCCTGGCAGTTTACTTGCACCGCGCCCAGCGCGTGCCATCACGGGCCGCCTCTGCCACCAAACACCAGCGTACGCACATGCTTGGCGCACGGGACTGCCGTACAGGTGGCTTCGGTGTGGATGCGGTCGCTCTGACGCGGGCCGCCACATCCTGTGCGTCAGCACTCGACTGCTGCAGCAAGTCTCCCGGCCTCCTGCCCCACGCGGGCGAGGCAGGGGTTTCCCCCTGTAGTTCGGGGTCCGAGGTGTGGCACGAAAGGCGGCGCTTGCGAAGGATGTTCACCGCCACGGGTCGCTCGCATACCTCACCAGCAAATTGCAGCATCACCAGCTTCAGGTGGCCTTGCCTCCCAGCGCGCCCCGCAGCCGAGGCGCTGGGGCCTTCCGCGGCGGCGGTTCCCTCGGCTCCCCAGCGGGGCAGGCTCGCTGGACGCGATGCGCGACGGAGGGCACCAGCTCCTCCTCCTCCTCCTCTTCTCCTCCTCCTCTCCTCCTCCTCCCTCCTCCTCCTCCTCCTCCCTCCTCTCCTCCCCTCCCCCTCCCCTCCCCTTCCTCCCTCCACAATTACTCAATATGAAAATACTCTCCCTCTTCCCCTGATGGCGGTTGGGTGATCGCCGACCCCCAGGATTCCCGGGAAACGGATTTTCGCATGCGTTTTTTTTTTTTTTTTTTGTTTTTCCAAAATGCTGCTCTCGCTGAGACGTCGGCTTCATTTCTGCTCCCGAATCGTTCCGAATCGTGCTCCCACTGCAGCGTGGGCCTCATTTTCGGATCGGTGTTTGGCCTCCGTCGTTCAGGATGGCGTTCTCGCCCCAGCGCGGGCCTCTTTCTCGCGCGCCCATCCGCCCGCCACCACTGCGCCGCACCACCACCACCACCACCACCACACCACCACCACCACCACCACCACCACCACCACCACCACCATCACCACACCACACCACCACCAGCACCACCACACACCAGCACCACCACCACCACCACCACCACCACACCAACACCACCCCACCACCACCACACCACCACCACCACCACCACCACCACCACCACCACCACACACCACCACAACCACAACCACAACCACGCACACACGCACGCACGCACGCACGCGCACCACCACCCACTACGCACGCGCGCGCGGAGCCACAGGTCCGCTACGACACGCGTCCGCGGATAGAGAAAATCAGCGCCATGGTAAGGGATGGGAGGGAGGGGTAGGACGTCAGATATGACGCGAGCGCACCTAGCTTGCCCCCCCTCCCCCTCCTCCCCTCCCCCTTCTCCTCATCCTTCTCCTCCGCCTCCTCTTTCTCCACCTCCTCCTCCTCCTCCCTTTTTTCGCACGTCCTCACCTCCCTCCCTGTGCGGTAAGGCGCCCTGGGGCGCCTCGCCCGTCCGTACCCTCTGACCGCTTTGTCACGCCTTCTACATCTCCTCGGCCTGCACCTCCACGGAAACCGAACGGGCAAAGTTCAATGATTGCGCAAAGAGGGGAATGATGAGGAGGAGGGGCCTTGGAGGAGGGAGGAGGAGAAGCAAGAATGTGCGTTGCGCTAAAGCGAGAACCACATTTTTTTCAAGCGGACCGCCCTCAATCCACGAGACCATTGCAAATGTCAAGTTTCAGGATCCTAAGTGTTAAGGAGTTCTCAGGCGAAACGCCCGGCCCGCTCATTCGACTGGCCTCGGTGTGCGACAGGGGGGAATCATCCATATGAAGAGGGATGGAGGCCAACGAACTTTCTCGTCCTTGTGCTCCGCGCCGTGCCCGCGCAGAGTGCGGCTGTCGCCACTGCAGTTTGTCATGATTCACGGGCCGAATCCCGACCCTCACGCGTGGCCTCGGCATCTCAGGCACCGAGCATTTGTCCTGCTCCACCCACGTGAGCAACGTGAGGACGGACCGAGGCATGCCTCTTCAAGCCCATCCCGAGTCGTTCTGAGGTGTGAGCAGCGGTCAGAATTTGAGTTGTCAGCTCCTCCTCGCCGCCCCCCTCCTCGTCGTCGCCCTCCTCCTCCGCTTCCTTCTCCTCCTCCTCCTCCTCCTCCTCCTCCTCCTCCTTCTCCCGCGCCCCTCTCCCCCCTGCTCTTGAAGCGGCGCCCCGGCGAGGCACAGCGGGGTGCGAACGCCGGGGGGTGCGGCAGGGCCATGTTGCGCTGGTGCGTGCAGTGCCTGCCTTGCGGCCGTGGCGTGGATTGGGGCGACCAGGTCGGGCCCATCTCCATCGCCGTTCCTTTCCTCCACCTCCTCGTCCTCCTCTTCTCGAAGATGGAATATCTCACATGAGGCAAAGGTACCGATGCCACTACCCTTCCCTCGTCACCACGGCTGGATTGACCTCGAATTCTTGGCCAGGAAGCACCCCAAGAAAGGTCCTTGCAGGAATGGTAAATAAGCACATGCTTCTGGAGGTCCGCTCGGAGTTCTAGGATCTGCGCCCGATCGTCCTTCTCGTCGCGCGCAGCACGCCAGGGGCGGCGCCGGAGTCACCGCCAGGGGGGCCTGCGCCGATCCAGGAAGTCCTCTCGGAGTTCCGAATGGAAGTATGCTTCTGTTGTTTCTGGTGTTGGAGGATGGCTTCCCACGGTACGAGAGTGCTTGCTGGCTTCTCGCCGTCCTCCCCTCTTCTCCTCTTCCCCCCTCCTCGTGAACCGATTCGCGCGCCCTTGTTTGCAGCGCCAGTTCTGCAGAGCCTGCGGTGCTTTCCCCGCGTGTGCCCTACGTGGCCGCCCCTCGTGGGCCGGCAGGCCTGGCCTGGCCTGACCTGCCTGTGGTGTTTCTCCGCCTCGGGCCGCCCGCCCCCTCCACCGAGACGGGCTCTCCATCCGGAGCCGTGCCGGGACGGTCCGTGGGCCCGGGCGAGGGCACCCGGGGGCCCAAGGTGGCCGCGGACTCTGCAGCGCGGCTGCGGTGCAGCGCGAGGAGGTCTGGGTCTTCCACCGAGAGCGCCCCCGGTCTGATGATGTGCCAGCCGATCTTAGCCTTGACCACCATGGATGGAGTTCGAGCACCAGGAAAGCAGCGAAGCCGGGGGATTTTTACGCGTCGGGCTCGGGGAGGCGATACTCGTTCGACACTGTGTCGATACTGTTCTGGGTGCTCGAAATTAGTTCTGGGGTGTGGTCCTTACGTACGATGGGAGCAACATAATGAGCCCCAGTCCTGATCGAGGCGCCTCTGCCAATGCACGGGCGGCGTTCGGCCTGGTTCCGAGGCGCTCTGGGAGCTTGCCTCCTCCATCTCTTCCTCCAGCGTCCACATTGTCCCCTTCTTCCATGTCCTCGTCTCAGGTGCGGTAGGTTCGCGTCGTGCCGACCAGCAGCGGCGACCTCGCCGCCCGCGCTTATTTTTGAACGCCGCCGGCGACACAGAACCGGTCGATGTTGCACAATCTGATGTTTCGGAAACGGCCGATCGTTCAAGGTTGAACGATCCCCGCGGTGTCACAAACCAGCGCTGGAGTCGGCACGACACGAACCTGCCGTGAATACCCCCATCCCTCCTTCCCCTCCACCCCCCTCCCCCCGCCCTCCGCCCTCCTCCCCTTCTCTCTGGTGATGGTGTAATTCTGGCACCCAGGGCCCCGAGTCCTCCGGCAGCAGCTTCCTGTCCGCGTACCGGGAGCGCGCCCGCAAAGGCGGCAGGCGGCAAAACAGTGTGAGGGCCCGCTTCGCCTCCGTCCACTCGCGCGCCGCGGGGATTCTCCACCGGCCGGGAGGGAAAGAGAGCACCGTAGGAAGCAGCTACTGGGAGGTCTTCGTCGGAAGGTTGAGGGAGAATTGAGCCCCACTGGGAGGGCTGCTACGTCGGATGAGGCCGCGGGTGATGCGGCAGTAAGCATGATTGCGCGGCATCAAGCCAGATTCAGCCGGACTTCGGACCAGGGCATCGTCAGACTTTGACCTCCCAGGTGCTGCATCCAGCAGTATCCTCGACACGCCGCCGTTGGGTGCCCGCCAGCGCGTTGCTGCGCCTCGGGGAAGGAGTGCGGCAGAAGCACAAGCGTTCGGAGCTCGGCGCGGGTTCCTTCGATCGGCGCAGGGCCCCTCCCTGGCGACGCCTCTGGCGCCCATCCACGAACGTTCAAGTCCTGGTTTATGCCAGCATTGCCCCAAACAGCGCCTGCACGGAGGAGCTGGCCGTGTACGCCAAGGGGGTTCGGCCGGTGCCCCGCTGTCGGGCGCCCGCAGGCGCCTCGTGGGCGCTCCCCGCGGAGGGGGATACGCCGAGGTTTCCGGCTGGTGCCCGGAGGTTTCGCCCGGTGCCCGCCCGTGTGTGCCTCGTGGGCGCCACGTGGGTTGCACCGAACAGTCGCTTGCACCAAACAGCTCGCACCACCTAGCTCGCACCAGGCAGCCTGCAGCACGTGGATCGCGCCACCAAGCTTACATCACACAGCCTGCGCCACACAGCTTACACCACATAGCGTGCACCACAGAGCTTGCACCACGTAGACTGCACCAAATAGCTTGCACCACATAACCTATACATGGCTTGCACCACGCAGACTGCACCACGCAGGTAGCACCACGTATCTCTCACCATGTATATTTTACCACCTAGCTTGCTCAGCATAGCGTGCACCGCATAGCTCGCACCACATAGGTAGTTCACACATCCACAGTGCAGTCACGTTATACTTGGCGTCCCACGCTGACCAGCATTCTTTCTTCTTCAATGGAAGAGAGGACCAATGGCAGACTCGCCGCCGTTTGGAGCCAGTCAGCATGCTACTGACGTTGTTTCCGTCCGAAGGCCTGGTGCTTCTTCAAGCGCAACGCGCTGATGGCTTCCCCAACGGTGGCGTTTCCTTTGTGCTGGGTGTCCTCCCCCCACAGGCTGCCCACCGGGACCGACTGGCCGGAGGCCAAGGCCGGCAACGCCACGAGGTCTCGCAAGGTGTTGTACTTGGTGAGGCATGCAGAGGCGCGGCACAACGTGAAGGAGATCGAGGTCGTGGGCGAAAAGCATGCCAATCCAAGATCTTTGGCACCGTGCAGTTCCATTTCAACTTCAGCTCTATATCTTGCAGCGTGGGGAGAGCTTAGCATCCGAGGCCACATCCCATCAGCGCAGAGTGGTGGGCCGCGCATAACAGCAAAACACGCCCACGTCTTGAATCATATACTACACCTCATTCCTTCCATTCCCGTGAGGGAGATCGGGGTCGTGGGCGCAAAACATGCTCGCCGAAGTCGCTAAACGACAAAGAACGTGACGCATCACTGCTCCATCCCGGGGTCTCGGTGTTGTCCGCCCTGCCTGCGCTGGGGCCCAGGATTGGTGTGCACGACCTCCCGCCCACGCCGAGAGGGCGTAGAGCAGTAACACATGATAAGAGGTCCTGCCTAACGAAATCTTGGGGCACATGCGTCATCGATCTTTCAGGGCCCGAAGGCTTCTGTGTGTCCCTGATCGTGGAACATATCCGTATCCCTGGCTTCGCGGGCCGAACCCCCCGGCCGCGACCCCGCGGACACGCTATGTGTTTCCGCGTTTGCCCCGCGCAGGACGCACCCGTGCGACCGCGTATCCGCGGGATCGCGCTCCAAAGTCCAGACAAGCGAGGGCGCGGATACGGATACGGCTGCCGCTCGTGACGAGGCTCAGGCGGAGGCGAAGGGGCAGGGCTGCACCGAGGCGGAGGTCGAGGAGGCCCGCAGGCTCAGAGGAGGAAACTAATGGACTAAAGACTGCACCAGCATCAGCTGGGCGCGCTGCCTCCTCCTGGGCAGCGCCTCCAGCGCAGCCTCTGGCGCGCTCCGCGCGCCAGGGTGGAGGTTCTATCCCCGATCCAAGAAATCTTTTACCCTGACACGTACGATTAGTGAATTGGCCGTTTTCGGTTCGCGAGAGGGCGTCGCGGCCGTCATTTTTTGCGGGTCCAGGTCCGTCGGTTTCGGTCCTAGGCCATTTTCGTGAAGGGGAGGTTTATTAAAGGGAGGTTTGTCCACCGCCGAACATTTGTGCAGACCTCCGAAAGTTTATGTCTATGCAGCTTCTCTTCAAGGGGAGGCGCCGGTACCACTACCTTTGAGACTCGCTTTCGCCTGTGCGGGCCTTCTGGCAGACCCTCGTCGCCACGACTGGATTTTCGAGATCATAGTCGGAACGCACCCCGATGGAGGTCCAGGGAGTGGCGGTACAGCCAAGACGCTGAAATACGGAACAGGTTGGGTTCGGAGGGGGCTCGATGTCCCTTAGGTCTTTCCATGGCTGTTCCTCTAGCCCTCGTGCACGTAGGCGCCTTTGGGGCCCCAAAGAGGTTTCGTTCCTTATTAGTCGTTCCTTATTGCGAAGGCCTTACGGCCAGTGCCGCCGACCCTGCAGACGGAGACGACGAGCAGGACAAGGACGTTGAGGAACAGGAGGCGGATGACGTCAGGGAGCAGGAGGGGGGGAGGAAGAGGAGGAGGAGGAGGAGGAGGAGGAGGAACAGGAGGAGGAGGTGGAGGAGGAGTTTCAGCAGCCCGACTGTATCGGGCCTTCCCCGCAGGCGCGTTCTGAAGGACCCCCAGTTCATGGACGCCTGCCTCAGCTCTTCCGGGCACCTCCAGGCGCAGGTGGCCGCCCGGTCCTTCCAGGAGCTCCTGGACGGCACCCACTACGTCGAGCCGGAGGTGGTCCTCGTGTCGCCGCTGACCCGCGCGCTGCAGACGGCGTCCGGGCTGTTCCCGAGGCACCCGCGCGTGCGCGCGATGGAGTTCCTGCGGGAGAGGAGGACGGGCGAGTCTTGCGACGAGCGGAAGCCAGCCCGCGAAATTGAAGCCGACTTCCCTGGCGTCGAGATGGCCGACATCGCCGCGGCGGGCACCTTCCGCGAACCAAGTCGCGGGCGGGCGGGTGAGCTGGTTACGCCAGCAGTGGAGGCATTAGTTCTCAGCTCGGCAAGGTGAGTTGCACCGCATAGCCTGCACCGCATAGATTTCACAGCACAGATGTCACGACACGTTGCACCATATCGATTGCACCACATTCATGGCACCACATTGAGTGCTCCACTTAGATTCCTTTTCTAAAAGAATATTCGGATCTACCCCGCCCCCGGACTGAACAGGCCACCTTTTTTCCCCTACCTAGGCTCTGCCTAGAAGGGTTCTTACTCTCTTAGCTTAAAGGGGACGGGCAATGGAAAGCGCCCCGGGCGGTTCCCACGGTCCCCTGGGAGCGGTTCCCCCCAGTCCCCTGGGAGCTTTAGCTTTAGCTTTAGCTTTAGCTTAGCTTTAGCTTTAGCTTAGCGGTAGCTTAGCTTTAGTTTAGCGTTTCGCTTAGCTTTTCACTTAGCGTTTAGCTTAGCTTTAGCTTAGCTTTAGCTTAACTGTAGCTTAGATGTAGCTTAGCTGTAGCTTAGCTTTAGCTTTAGCTTAGCTTTAGCTTAGCTTTAGCTTAACTTTAGCTTAGTTGTAGCTTAGCTTTAGCTTAGCTTTAGCTCAGCTTTAGCTTAGCTTTAGCTTAGCTTCAGCTCAGCTTTAGCTTAGCTTTAGCTTAGCTTTAGCTTAGCTGTGGCTTAGCTTTAGCTTAGCTTCAGCTCAGTTTTAGCTTAGCTTTAGCTTAGCGTTACTGCTATTACTAATGCTGCTTTCCTAGGGGTTCCAATTCCTAGGTAGGGTCGCACCGGGATAATGTATTGCAATTTGCGTATGACTTCGTCCAACCGTCCATCCGAAATATGAATTCGTAACATCCCAGCCCACATGGCAACGGTTCCCCCTCATCCTTTTTCCAAGAAGTTATGCCTGCGCGTTTGGTTATCAAATATCATCCGTTTTCATGAACCGCTTCCGAAGACGTATGACGCAGTGCACACGCGGGCGTCGTCGAGCGCATGCCCGAACCCTTACGACAACAACTCAGGCGTCGTAAGGATCTCAAACTCGACCATCACGAAACCAAGAACAACAACGTTTCACAACAATGATTTTTAAAGCAAACGCCTGCGCTCGCGCTCTTACATGCTCTTAAGCAACCACTCGCTTTTTCAACCATTTATCATAACATGCTAACAAACGCAGTCGTTAAAGTTAAAGTTAAAGACGGGGCCTTCAAGGCGGAGTGGTGGGGCCAAAAGGCCAACAAAAAAAGCCACGCTCTCCCGAGAGGGGCCGTCTAGGGCCGCTTCTCGCCGCGGGGGCCGCACTGGGCTTTCACCGCGCGGCACCACAGGCGAGAGCAGATCTACACACAAACTACAACTGCCCGCCTCACTCTTCACTCTTGGGCCGCGTCATGCAACGCGCACGGTCCAAAAGAACATCGAGGAGCCGCTGACGCTCCTCGGCAACTGGACAACTTGCACCTCCGAGGCGGACGCCGAGGGCGCGGGCCTCGGCCAAGTCCAGGAGTGACTCAACTCCCGACTTCGGCCCCTTGGCCGCACACGCCACCGCCGCCACCGAGAAACCGTCCAGGAACGAAACGAACACGCCCTCTGAGCTCGAGTGGCCCTCGCCCTCGGCGCAGTCGACGCTGTCCGCGACCAGGGGCGGCTCCATGTCGTCGCTGACGACGCTGCTGCCGTCCAGGTGCGGCACGACGTCGTCGGCAAACTCGACGGGTCCACGCGTAGACGGCCTCGAAGGGCCAGCATCGCTGGCACCAGCCAAGCCGTCCACGCTGGCACGACCGCCAGCACCAAGCTCTGCACTAGCACGTCCCAAGACGGGAGGCAGCGGCGCACAGCCTGCAGTACCTCCAGGGACCTTTTCTGCGCCCCGAGGGCGGCGGCCACGGAGCAGGAAGAAAACGCCACTGCGCCGCAAGTGCACCGTATGCCCTCGAAGTCGCGCAAGCAGGATGGCTCGGCCGAAGATCTCAGTGGCGTGCGCCTCCGCAGCGGCAGACCGCCCATGAGCTTCGGCAGCGGCTCAGCCTCGCAGATCTCCACGTCGATGTCCAGGCCACCTAGCCGAGAGACACAAACGCCGTGGTCGCCCACACTGCGGGCACCTTTCTCCTGCGACCCCAGGCGTTGACCCTTCTGGGCCTTCCTGAGGGGTGCTGCCGCAGCGGAGGCGATCGACAGCACCCCGTCGGCCTCGGCATGGGGCGCCACGTTGCGCCGTAGCCGCTCCAACCAGGTCGGCTCCTCACCCCGCGCAAGCGCAGCCAGTGCCGGGATTACCGCCTGGACCCGACCCGCCAGCCCAGGCACGCCGACGAGCAAGTCGAGGGCGGCCCCCACCACGCGCAGGCGGGTCTGGGCCTCGCCAGCAGCCTCCAGGGCGCACGGCCGCATCCGCAGCCGCTCGGGCGCGCCGCGCCGCCTCGCCTCGCTCGCGCCGCGAACGGGGGAACCGCAGAGGGCCCCCCCCCGTGACCATCCCTCGCCCAAGCAAGCTTGAGCCGAGCTGGCTTGAGCCCAAATGGCTACGGAACAACAAGCGCAGTCGTTCAGACGCCCTTGCGCGTGAGCTGTCGCAGGAATCCTTCCCAAAAAAAAAAACGGGGCGAAGTGCATGCGCGCGTGTCGTCGCGGCGCGCGCGTGCCGAAATCCTGCAACAACGCCTGCGTGTTGCCGAGATTGCAAAGACGAGTACCCCGACAACATAAACAACACATGATTGTGCAACACCAGTATTCAAACAAACTGTTGCGCTCGCTCTTCAGTGCATTCTCAAGAAGACCACAGATTTCTCAACGCTGACATCACATTTCTCCAAACGGGCTTATCGCGCCGCATGTCGAACTCATCCGATCGCCTTTGTTCGCGTGCTCGGGCGGGGGGGGGGGGGGGGGGCGCGACCCACGACCCGCTTCAACTGATGCCACGTGGGGCACCCGAGCGCGTCGGCCGCGCGCGCGCGTCGAACTCGCACCGCCGACGCGAGGACCTCGTCATCGGTATCGGTGGGCGTGATCAACGTCGGCGCCGTCATTGGCCTTGTCGTCATCACCGCTACTTTCATCATCGTGTCTTCCGGCGTCGGCGTCGCCATGATACCTCGCCCAGTCAAGTGCCTGCTTGGAAGTGCCCAGCGGTCGGCCCCGCCGCGGCCGCGGCGGCCGCGCCGCACTAGCTGGCCGCTGCGCATGCGAGCATGCGCGGGCTGGCGCGGCCGCAAGCTTGCATCGGCCAGCGGCGCGCACTCATCGCAATCTCTGGCGCTGGAGTTTTGCACGCCAAGTTGCGGGCGGGTGGGTGGGGTGATTGCGCGAGGAGTGGAGTTGACAACACACTGCGAACATGGGTGGATTTCACAACAGGGCAGCACGTCGATTTCTTTATTTTTTATTTTTTAAGGATATAGGTTGCACCCGCCCCCCCCCCCCCCCCCCTCCCGACTTACTCTCTCCTCGGGAGCCCATGCAAAATCCCTAGGATTCTGACCCATTGTCAATCCTTCCAAGAATTCATGCTTTCCCATTTCGGCCGGGATCGGCCCCCTCGTCGGTCCCCTGGCAACAATCATAAGTTTTCAAGAATCTCTTTTCAACAGATGACATGAAGTCCACACGGCGTGCCGGAATCCCCAAACAAACCACAGGTTGCGGACGGATTTCAAATTCGAGTGTCAGACAAACATACAACAACCCAGGGTCTCGCAACGCGGATTTTCAACAAAAGCGCGCGCGCGGCCTTGCCGAGTTTCAAGAAATCCATGCGTTATCCAACCTGTTTAAAACATGCTACCACAGGGGCTCCGCGCGCGAGCATGTCGAAATCGGTCGAATGCCCTTGCGCGCGTGCTGGGGTGGCACGATCCGTTTCAATAATACCATGCGAGCCACCCTCGCGCGGCTGCCGCGCGCGCATTTTGAATTCCTTCCAGAACCTTCATGACCGACGCGAAAACGCTGTCATCGTCGTCGTCGCGATCAGAAAGAGCGCGTTCTACCGCTGCTGGCGGAAAACCGGGGGGGCCACTGCCGGTTCCAACCCTTTCCCCCCCCTCGGGAAAACCGGGGGGGGGGGGGTCATTGCCGGTTCGAACCCCTCCCCCCCCCACCTAAAGGATCGGCGTGGTTAGCGAGTGCTACCGTGAGTTATAATCATGTTATAACTATGCTATGAGTCTGATATAAGTAAGTATGGTTTGGTATAAATAGGTTACGACCTTATTAACTTCGCTAACTTGGCCCCTCTAGTTAAGTATAGTTACGCGGAGTCAGAAAAGTTGGCACTTCTGCTAAATTAACATATGTTGGAAAACGATGGCGTGTAGGCTTTCTTCCCTGGCGTATAAGTTTATCTATGTATTTAGATTGTTGCCATTCGTTTTTAGCATGGCGTTGCTGGAAGTTTGCCTGCCCCCCCCCCCCCCCCCCACCACCACACCACCGCCACCACCACCCCCCATCAAGAGTGCGATCGGTGCAATGCATTCGTGAATTTCGAAGGGTGCATATTGCAAGGTTGCAATGCTCCTTTGCATATATGCATGCCCAGTATAGGCTTTTGGCTCAACAGAGGCGGTTTTCACGCGAGGCGTCATGACCTCCAAGCGTGAGCTGAGGAGATGCAGCAAATCAAGGCTGCATATGGGCAGCCAGACGCCCCCGTTGTTTCTTTGTTCGAAGAGGCATGCACCATAGCGCAGCGGCCTGGCATTGATTGCATCAGGACATGTTCGCGTGCATGGAAAACAGGTATGGAGATTGGGTTGTTCGGAGCGATGTGCTAGATCTCATCGCAAACATATCCATGAACGGTTTCGAGAACTCGGCCCTTCAAAATCCAGCGCGCGTGGAATTCCGAACAGGCTCAATATAATGACAGATTATGTTGGCCAAATGCTTCTATATGAATGCGAAGCTAAATTCGCCAGCTACGCGCGTGGACATACGAGCATGGGGTTGCGTTGCTCA